GGGACCAAAGACTACTAGTGCTGCTTCCCATGTTGCCATACTTTGACAGAGACACCAACATGAATGAGAAAAACCCCCCCACTTGGCATCAAAAGCACATAAAAAAAATAACCTATCTTTCCCAGAGCACTACTATATAGATCTGTTCTTCGTAACAAGAACTCAGGTGTTGCTGGACATACCATTTCTTACTTCTTTCTCGAAGAAATGTCTTTTTCCCCATCAAGCAGCCTTTCCTGCTCCCCAAAAGATTTTCATTCAAAGCATCTATCTTCTGGGTACTCCAGCCCAACTTTTTTCCTGGTTAACTTATAGCCATTCTATTGGCTGCAGTTAGCTGCTCAGATTTCAGAACTGCAAGCGAACCTACACTGTTATATTCAGTTCCAGGGAGGATTTACATCAAGTCTAGCTTTTTTTTTTTCCTTTTTTTTTTTTTTATTACCAGTGCGACACATGCACTTATCAAAGCTCATTTACTTTGCGTATTACGTAACAGAGGTTGCAACTTTCACAGGTAAAAGCATCTTCTATCTGAGTTATCTCTTAGCTTCCTAAAACCAGATCTGTATTTAGATTAACCAAGCTTCCTAATCAAATCCCTAAAACCCTTGAGTTTCTCTTCAGATCTCTCATTCTCACCCTAAAAACAAAGAAACAAAACACAATCTAAGCTACTGCCCTGAGCCACTGACTGAACCTCATAGCACAGTTCCAGCAATTTGGCAAGTATTTTTCTTAATGCAAGAATAGTGCAGTGGAGGAGAAAACTAGGGGTGAGGTGAGGTTTGGGGGTTTGGAGGAGATGCAGGCTAGGTACACAATACTGGTGGACAGGGAGACATACAGTGTCACTAGAGTATGACATCTGCATGACACTTATCTAGAAAAGGCTCTCCCTCATTAAAGCAGCCAAGCAGCCATAAGATAAAAAGGAATATCCTTGCATACAGAAAATTGGTTAAAAAATAGAAAACAAAGTAGGAGTAAATAAAAATCTTGCTACAAGTAGAATGCCAAATCAACCTATAGTAGCACCTACCCTGTTTAACAACATGATGTCATTTTACTGACGACACTATGTTATTCAAGGTAATAAGAGAACTTGAGTGAATAAGGATTCCGAGTAGTGACCTGCCAATGAAACAGCAGCTATTCAGGAAGTCTCAAAATAATGAAAAAGAGGTAGTTCTTCACACAACCCACAGTTAAGCAGTAAAGATTTTTGCAGATGCTGGAAATTAATATGAGCTCAAGAGGAAACAACAATTTCATGGCAGAAAATGCCACTGATTACCTCCATGTATGCAGGAATCAGTCATGACTCAGGAATGTAGACTCTGGGACAGCAAATGGGCTAGGGAAAGGGAAGTATATATTTGCTCTGTTCTTACATTCTTGCTTAAGCATAATTTGTGGCTAGTCTTGGATTCCAGTTATCAAGCTACGTGAACCCACTGCAGCTGCTCTTGTTCTTATGCAACATAACTTACTGAAGTACTTATGGTCACTTCCACATTGCTAGAGTCTGAGGTACAAGCTTGCTGCATGAATAGTCACCGTCCTTCTCTTTCCCCTTCAAGACTCAACACTGTAAGCAACTGTAAGATGCTGCCTTACACCACGTTATCTTTGTCAAATAAACTACTTTACATCTACTACAGGCCGAACCAAAAAATTCAGATAAAAGTTGTTTGGTTATCACTAGTGCAGGCACAGATATGGACAGTTGAAGATGTACCTCAAGTTTACATTGCCTGTTTAAAGTATACTTTTAACATTAGGTTGCACGATACATTTCTAAACTGTAATTGCACTCAACACTTTCATCACACTTTCAAAGGTGTCTCTCTAGCACAGTGTAACAAAGCTCTAGCATAAGCTAGTATGGGCTCTAGTATTGGCAGGAATTAAGCTCTACTATGTGAAGGAATTCACAAATTCAGCTTTCTTGCAGACTGTAGGCAATACAGGCAGATCACATTTCAGGGTTGTTTTTTTTTAAAAACACCCCCTCACTACACTGGAAAGCCACCAGATTTCTACAAACGGTAGAAATCCCATTTCCTCGCACACTTGGCAAACCACAGAAACAAAGCAGGTGAGCCTTGACATAACCTTGATGTAGTTCAACAAGTAACATGGTTTAAAACATCATTTCAGTTTGGTGCTCAGATACTTTGATAGTTCTGAGAGAATTATGGAGTGTGACCACAAAGCTGATCGTGCAACTTTCTTTGTAACTGATCAGATGGAGAGCTCCATCCATGCAAAACCAACCACACAATCCCACAGCCTTACAGCATGTATAACATTAGCCTTGCCAGGTCCGAGAAAAACGAGACAGAATAATGTGACTTCAAGAATATATTTTCCACGTACAGCACAGAGAAGCCAAAACACAGGCACCTAGTTCTCCCTGTTAATACTTATTGCAAGTACATGTCTAAGGTTTAGGTTAGACTGGGTTTGGGAGTTGGGTTTGGTTTTTGTAATTAAGTTACTAAAGGTATTTTCCTGATGTTTGGCAATTACTTTATTTTTCATTTTACAGAGCTATTCGACAGTCACGTAATTTCAAGTAAATTTACACCCAATTGTCCTTGCAAGCTCCACCATAGAGACTGTAGCAAGCATCATGAAAAAGGCTCCCATTTTTTAAAGTTTGTTACATTATTTAGTGCAGTAGGTTGCTTCAGATGAGATCCTTTGTGGTTGTTTGAAAACAACATTCTCTTTAATTGTAATTTCTGAAGTACTAACCTTCCCTCCCCTAGTAATACTGCAAAAGACAATTTTGGCTTTCTTACATGTTACCTGTGAGTAATTTCCCATTTCTTTTCAGCTATAACAATCCCATGTTGCCACACACTGTGTTTGTTAATGGTTACCTTCCAGCCCCACTGACCAGAAGTCTATGCATTAAAAGACTAACTTTGCTACAGACTGGTATGCAAATCAACATAATACCATTTTCTGTAATCGATATTTCAGGGGTTTGTTTGCTGTTTATTGCTGTTGTGGGTTGGTTTTGTTTTAAATAAAAATCAAACATACTACTGTTAATAATTATTTGCAAAATTACGTGTACTAAAATGTTAGAAAAAATGACAACTTTTAAGCTGCTCAGGCAATCTTTTCCCAGATGCCTCTTAGAATGGCTAATAATGCAGTCGTGCTAGTATTGTTTTCCTATGTATCCGTTTCAGCCACTACCATCCAATCTTTTTTGAGGAGGAAACTGAAGTACAAGACTATATAGTCAAACACCTCCTTTCTGTCAATCCAATTTGAATTAACTTCACAATCCTGGTTGTTTTAATGCAAATTGCTTTGTTAAATAGAAGTATGCTGAAAGAAATAACTGGCGTTTTGGAGCAGGTTTGTGAAAATATCTTGGGTGGGATTATCCTTCTGATGTTTCTCCAATTTAAATTTATAGCCTGGGTTAGGTAAACCAAACTAGCAGTGGTCACCCTTATTTTTAAGCTGTAATGCATAGATTTGCTCTGATAGGGTACATTTTAGCTAGTAAGATATCATCTGGCAATTAATGTTACAATCCAATCATCTCTATCACAACAGAAACACACTGGTACCAGAAACAATGGAAACTGTTGTGTATGCAAACAGACTTACTCAAAAAATCTTCCTTCTGGGGTATCTCCTACACCTAAGTAGCAACTACTTTCTTCAAAAAAACCCCACCCCACCCCCCAAAACCAAGTATTTTTACTCTTTCTAGAAGCACAGAAATAAAGGTGTTCTGCTTAACTGAGCCCAAAAGCTGTTTTGCAAATGCTGTTTTAGACAGCAGATGGACAGGCCAAATTCCCCATTCAGTCACGTGGAACTAACTCGAACCCAAAACTTTCTGTTCAAAATGAAATGTATCATGAGCGTGTATGAAAATTGGCATGGTCAAGTAAAATGCTGCCACTGTTTCAGAGGTTACGTTTAAGCACCGAGTATTAGCAACTTTGAACTGCAATTTCTGGATGTTAATCTACATTTAGATCTAGATCAAATAAAAGCCTTAATGGGAGCCGTAGGTTTCAATCTCTGGTTTAGAGAATACTCATATCTTTTATGCAGCAATACTGTTTATTGTAAAATAAAGAAACATTCTGTAATCACAGAATCACAGATCATCTGTGTTCTCCTCCTTCCTTGGGAAACGATCTCTAATTTCTTTTCTGCATGACTTCAACAGGAAGCACAGGGCACGTTCTCACCTATAGCAAACTACAGACTAGTAGTAATGGCGCTTTCCAAAAGGGAGGGGGATTGAAGAAGAGAAGGAAGGGGAACCCCATCCTCCTTTCCATGGGCAAGTGCAGTAATTTTTAGCCTAGTTTACAGATGCGTATCAATACAACATAACCAGTTCTTTTATTTTAAGAAAAAAAGGTTTTGTAAGAGACCCAACTACTGCTAGTATACAGTATAATCCAAGTCCATTTTCTGGGTTGGGTTATTCCACTACAGCAGATGATGCAAAGCCTACCTAAGTTAAAAAATGGCAAATGAATTTGACAGCCTGTTTAGACCAGAGCAGTTCTGGACAAAGACTCAGAGATGGGTGTGACTGTAGAACCTGAGACTCAAACTGGCACCTGCTGAATTTAGACACATGGCTAGTTGGTGCTTTCAGGATCCAAGACGGACCACAACTGGAGACTTGCAGGACTGAGCTGTTAAAGAGCCTACATTTTGGTAAAAAAAGTCCTTCATTGGATTTAATCCTAGAATCACAAATTCGCTTGAATTAGATGTCGCTAAAATACAGCTGAAGTAATAGTTTATATTTTTTTCTATTTAGATACTTAATAGAAAATTAGTAAACTTAAACCATCCTTATATACCATAAAACCATAAGCTAGTTGAATGTTAAGAACAGTGAAGTGATGTACACCTCAAAATATGAGGCACCATTTAAAATTACTCTGTCCTGTTCTTCCTACTGACACCACCAGTTTACTCACTTGTAGCCATGATACCTGGAGGACATGCTGGTATCCCGTGATCAACTGCCCATCTGTAAGCTCCTTCACCAACTAAAAAGCTAGGAGACACAGAAGAGGGAGTTTAAACAAAACCATATAACAAATCCCCCTTTTCTTGCAATTATTTTTTTCTATTTGGTTTGGTCATTTTAAAATTGTAAGCTGTCTACATTTCACAGAAATGTCAGCTATAATTACATTTGGCAGCCTAACGTAGTTTCATTAAAAGACTACGCAGCTCTGACATTAAGCTTAGTACTGGCTAAAACCAAGTGCCATCAAATTTGATATTAATTACAAAATAGCACCAACTTTTAATTGCAGCTAAAACAGGACAAGCCATCTAGAGCCTTGCTCTCTACAACAACTTAGTAAGATCCTGAAGACCAACAACATGGGATGAATGAGGCGAGAATGGTAAGGTATTTCCAGTAAAGTCAGCCAATGCCACAGGAATATCAAGAAGTATTTCAAGAAGTAAAACATAAGCTAAAAATAAGCCTTATTTAGAAGGATGAAGGTCTATCTAATGGAATTTCATCAAGCATTTGCAAATGAGACAGGTCTACTGAATTTTTAATACACCTGCAAAAAACCCCAACAATATGAGAAGTTGTTTTCTAGTCAGTACTGAACACTTTACAGTAGTGACACAGTACACACTACCGTGACAATGAATGATAACAAAAAGTATACACACACATGCACACGTAACTTTTAGAGAGAGGAAAAAAAGCAAGCCTCAATTATCTATACTGCTTCCTGTTAAAGAAATTTATCTGATTCCCTGAAAAGGGCAATATAGTGGTTGGAAATCATACATTTTCAGAAAGCTGCTGCACAAGAGTACCACCAACAGCACCACCAACAGCAACACAATAAAGGACAACTATTTCCAATCTTAACTTCATATCCTGCTTTTGAAATAAGAATAGCACAACTGTCTAATGGACACAAGAAGTAAAGACTCGGGATTTACAGCAATTTCAAAAAGTGTTCCAGAAATACCAGATTTATGAATGCAATGCTAAAGAAGTTATTTCAGGTATAAAGTAGTCCCTGGGGGCAGCCAGTACTACAATTTCTGAGAACGTTATTGATATAGCAATTGATTTGCATTAACGCTGTTGGAAGTCTTCTTGACAACGCTATATCTGCAGCTTTCAGCATGTAGTATTTTGAGGTGGTACTTTGCTATGACTCAACCAACGAGAGGTGTGTCCAGTCTTTCCTTACAAAAGTCTCAAAAAAAAAGTTTATCTAGATGAGAATTTGAATTGTTAAACATATAGTTCTTACCATCATTAGTGCAGCTCCAGACAAATACTGTTCATGTTGCAAGATACTGCAGGATAAGTTACTTGGCACTTTGGGAGACCTCAAGCATCTCCTATTAGGTAAGCTAGTGCTCAAGAAACAACCTTTCACTTTCATTAACATAAGAGAGAAATGCAAACCGGAGCCAAACCTAATTAAGTAGTATTCTCCATTGACTAAAAGAAGAAGGTTTTGGTCCTGAAAAGTTTTCTATCAACAATATATTCTCAGGAAATGAATAAGCACTTCCTGTTCAATAAAACAATTTACAGAGAGGAAGGATAGGTGGAGAAAGTAACAAGTTCAAATTTTAGACATTTTATATATGGTAACTGGAATAGCACAGATCAGTCAGAAACACTGCATTTTACAAGAAATCTCACAATTGCCTTTTTAATACTTAAAAACCACAGAAACAGTCACTAGTATTTATGAAGAGTGAGGAAAAAATCACCCAAGAACGTCTCAAAACTTAAGTTATGTGAATTTTACTTCGCTCAGACTTGTGTCCTTAATTACAAGATTCCTCTCCCTCCTATAAGATGGGCACAGACAAACCATTTTCCAGTTCTGGTCCCAAAGAACAGTTAGATTAGTTGAAGCAGACATCTAATTGAGGCCCCATAACATGACAGAGATCATTCACCTTTTTTAAACTTTTCAGTTTGGATGTCTTGGAAGGTCAGCACAATCACAGAAAAGTTAAAACAGTTTACCAAAAAGAAAAAATAATCAGCACCTCCGTGCTTTGCTGTCTGTACTACCTATACTGTATCTCCTATAAATTGATACAGAATTAGTTGGTAAGAGATTCCTACAGGACATACAGCATGAACTCAGTTCTGCAGGCAGCCAAATAAGTATAATCTAAACAAGACTGAACAGTCTTTACACCTCCCAAAAATGCAAGTTCTATGATCTTGTTCAGCACACAGACACACACACAATTGTACCAGCCACAGACGACAGAGTGGCAAGAGAGTGGACACCAGCGATCTGGCACTAAGGAGCTGCTTTAGTTGCCATGAGAATCCTCCATGTAGCTGTAGCAGGCAAGAATGAACAGGGCAATACTTTAAGCTGACATAAAAACAGAACTACCTCTAAACAGCTACCACCAAGCTTGATTCACTGGGGGAGAGGGAAAATAGGGAATAAAGCCAGTGGGCTATAGAAAAAGCCAAACACCCACCAAGCTTCAAAACCCTTTAGGCTAGTTCAAAATACAATTTTCCAAAGGGGGGTGGGGGAAACAACGAGAAACAAAGGATGAATGAGTTTGTGCTTTGCTACTCTGAAAGCTGGTTCTGCACAAACAAGATAAAAAGATTTTTCTTGCAAATATATCAAACAAAAGAGTACTCTGTAGTTGTCACAGGCTCAAAATGCAGAAGATGAAAACATCCTCCCAGCAAGGAGTCAATGCTTGGACACACTTTTCAGTTTCAGGCAAACTAGACCACATTAACAGAAAATGCAACTAAAGGTCTCTAAAAATGGTCTTTTTAGGCAATTTTCTGCAAGAACATGGTTATCCTGGTGCTATTTGCTCCAAACAGAACCATTTAATACCAGCTGTAGGGAGATAGGCCACACCTGTGGCTAAAACAGAAGTGGCAGAAGAACATCAGGTTCATTAAAGATGGTCAAGTGGATCCTGAATGTAACAAACTCACTTTGTAACACTTATTAGAAAATGAAGCGATCGCTCTCAAGTCACCGTTACAAAGAAGAAACTTTTCGAAGACATAAAGAACAGAGATAAAAGGTGGTGCAATTCTTCACTCTAGGCACTTCCGTGACTACACACTTCCCTACAAGTTACACAATGCAGATATCCTGCCTACAGTGCAGCAAAACTGTGAAGCAATTACAAATCCCTGTATACCCAAAGCGGGGGAGGGAAAACCCCAAAACACTTATGAAGGGATTCTTTCCCATATGGGTTACTATTAATACTGGAAAAGAGAAACAGACATGGACTTAGATATCAGTAGTAGTAAGGAGTTTTAAGAAAGGAGACATTGAGGTATATTTGTATTTGTATTCTGCAATTCTTATGTATCTACACTTAATAGTAAACAGATGTAAATAAGCCTCTTCCCTTAGGAAGGTCAAAGTTTCAGTGTAAGAAACAGAAAATCTTCAAACTTACTACTGCAAACATCTAATCCATTATTCTGTGACCAAAGACCGCTTCCAAAGATCCATGCAATACGTAACTGTGCAATCCTAATAGTGTTTTCTTTTGTAAAGTTATACAACAAACAGGAATATCTTATATGATAATACACAACATCTACAAGTCCAGTATTTTCTGTTCCTGCGTACACAGGCAGAGAAAATCCTGACAACATTGAGATGAATAAAATAGGACAGAAAGATGTTTCAACAAATGCACTCGTGCATTCAGGGATCCTCCACTTCAAACTTTTTAATTTTCAATTTGGTTAGTGGGATTCTGTGTTTTAAACAAGATGACAAGATACTGATCCACAATGACACACTCTACAGAGCAACTTACAGCAAATTGGATACATCAGTTAGGGTACTTGATCACTCCCTCCCAATCAGCTTACCATCTTCGAATAAATGAATTCACACTCACTAGAATTTCTTCTACTGAAAATTAGAAATGTATCGCTTTGAATCAGTTTTGAACTGTCACTGTAAAAACGAGTGCTGAACAGGGGTAAACAGGCCAAACTAACTGCTTCCATGTGTTCTTTTATAGACAAGAAGCTCCATAATGCCACTTTTACTAATCTCACACTTCTTGAATTTTTCTTGTGTGGTCACGTGCCAAACATTCTGGCCAGAAAACATCAAGCTAGCTTAGATCATGCTATAGAAACAGTCTCTACCACTAGGTTTCTTTAACAAAACAGGTTCTCAGGCTAAGCAGTATCTGGAAGATTCCCCAATATACTATTTGCCCATGAGAAACAAGACGTAACTTGCATATCTTTACAAATAGAAATCAGTTACTAAAATCCTTGGTAGGAATGCCAAAATACAGCTGCACTCCTGTCATTTGACTATATATATATATTCCCAGCTTGTGCCGGAATATATTTCAGTCCCCAAACAGCAATGCGTCATGCCAAACCCTGACAGAAAGGCAAGGCATGAATTTGTCAACAGTCATCACCTACAATGAACATAGGCTGTATCATTCTGAACTTGGGATACAATGTGTGTACAGGAGCATCTACCAAGGCAAGTCTAAAGCACAACCCATTGTATCCCTCTAATATAGACTGTTCCCATGGTAACTATTTTGCCCTAATAAAGTGTACATTCAAAATCCAGGATGGGGAAAAAGGAAATCAAAGCATGTACTAGGTAACTCAGGTCCACAACACTTGCACAATACACTGTATGTGTTGGCTCTGAAGACAGTTCACTTCTCGCCTTGAGAGTTTGAGCTCCCTTGTCTTTAAAAGCATCTGTCAGCCAAGACCTTGGACAGGGTTTGAAAGATTTAGTCTTTTCCTTTGAGGACAAGAGGATATAGTTTCTTTTCCATTCAGTGATTTTTAAAATAATAGCAGCATAAACCCGGTCATGAAGTTACAGCACACATGCTAATATGCCCAAGTGCTCTTCCTTATAACAATTTGAGAAAACAATGCGATGATCCAGACAAAAATAAATCACAAGTGCTTACTCCTGTAGCTGACTTCAGTACCAGTTGTGAAACACCAAAAAACCCCACCTCATTTGACAGTCTCTTTAATGTAACTCAGCTAAGCCCTGCTTTCTCCCGACATCTGAAGAAATGAGCTACTAACCGCCATTGAAATTCAAGTTCCTATTCCTTAGTAAATTTTTCCTCTGGAAAAAAAAAAAAAAGAAAAAAAAAAAAGGTCTTACTAACTGCAGTTACTCTTTTCTTTATTCATTTAAGAAAAGAGTTTTAAATGCAAAATCTGCTTGTTGACAGTTTGGTTTCAGGGTGGCTTTTTCTGATCTATGAACTTCCTTTGCAGCATGACAGAACATTGATATAGTGCTTTTCCTCACTGTTTAAATTGGAATACTATACCATCAAGCTACAGACTATTCAGCTAATTTTACAGAATAAGAATAACATAGTAAGGAAAATAAATTTTGTGAATCTAAATATATATATATTAAAATACATAAACACCGGTTTAATGCATCTGCAAACACTGTAGTATATTAGTTAGCAAACGGTAGCAAATTCCTGCAACAGGTGTGACAACAGAGGATAGCATCACTTAAGACAAATGAATCATTCAAGTTCTCTACTTGTCAATTTAAGCTTCTAATGAAAATAAGATGGTTTTAAGAGCAATTGATTCTGACATTTCTTGGATTCTTTCCAAAATGACGCAATAATATTTAAAGTCGTTATGCGTTTAATAGTTACCTCTTCCATCTAAGTATTATACTCGTCCCAATAAACTGCATGTTTTCATTGTTTCTGTAATTACTATTAAATCTATCTTTAAAATAACTTCCCATTTTGGCTAAGATAAAAGAAAATTACTAAACAGTGCACATTTCCACACTATAGCTACAAAATAAAGCCACAAAGACAGGCAGCAAAGTAGGATTCTTTTATATACTTGCTAAAAACTACGTTATCTCTACCTTTTTTTAAAGGTAGACAGAGGCAATGGTAGTAGAATTATTTTTTAATCTTGATGTATTTAGGCATTTTTCAAAATGATACAAAATATAAGAATTCAGTATGACATAACTGGAAATAATCCCACAGACAGAAATTAACACAAAATGGCGTTGCCATCTATTCACAGTACATCATTGTACCCACAGCCTCATCAAGCGCACAAGATGTTTCAAGATCAGGGAACAAATCTTATCTTCTTTTTAAAGGCACACTATCATTGGTATGTAAAACAGCACCAGCCTTCTTGGGATAAGATGTAACCTTCAAATATTGCATGCAGTACAGACGAAAGACCAAAGCAAAGTCAAGCAGAACAAAGCAATTACCAAGGTGGAATTCTGCCAGCAGAGAGTTTTCCCTTCTGCCCTTCACACAACAATCTATTTGCAACTGAAACTGGATTCTTGATTCCTGAAAAGAAAAATTAGCAAAAAATGGGAACAAAACATTAAAATATTTTTCCACATAGCATTGTAGTGTTCATTTTGGCAATGGAAGTCAGCTTCCTCTATTTTCCAAGGCTTTGCCAAGTCATTAAGATACATCTTGTATTATGTTTCAGTTTAAGAACAACTTTATCAGTTTTTCCTTCACATACCATATCAGTAGCGACAAAGCCTTCTAATCAATAGCCCCACCCCCCTTTTTTTTCTTTTCTTTTTTTTTTTTAAAGGAGTATTAGGACTGACCTCATACCACAGAAATCTCAAATCTATGGTATTCTACAGGCCAAAGATGTTTTATGAGCATTAATTTTTCAAGGTGGTTAGAGCCTTCATTTGGATCTATCTGGCCAGAACAGGGATTATAGGATTCAGGCTTAGTTTCCTCTCACTCCCTCACTTCCTCCTTCCCCATGGCTGGAAGGATATATTTTGTAACAAATAAGCCTTGAAACACTTAATTTTACTATTTATTTTAGATTTATATCTACATGAGGAAGTTATTACCACGGTTTAGAACTATTCTAGGATAAAGAACAAAGCTTGAAATGTTGTCAGAAAAGCTATTCAACAGTAACAGTTAAGGCTGTTCAATGTACTTATGACAAAACCTCAGCAATCCCTATTTGGGACTGTACACCTATATTTGTTTGGTACTGAAAGTTAAAATTAGACAAAAAAAAAGATAAGCACATTAGCTCTCAGATTAAATAAGTCCCATATGCAAATGCATCTAACCTTGTAACAGTAACACACAAAATAAATCCAAATGTAACTGACCATGTGAGAGAAATCATAGTGAAAAAAAATCTATACAGTGTACAGAAAATTTATGTCCCAAGCAAACAGCTTGACAGATGAGCACCTGCGCCCATTCTCAAGAATACGTGAGAGGCTTCAGTTTGGAGGCTAGCACCCTGCATAGACTTCTGATACTATACAGGAATCTTTGGTCCCTTAGGATCCCAATTTGACCAGCTTAACTAAGAGACCAAAATATCAATTGACCTTATGATTGAATTACATACAAGTAAGTTCTTCGAGAAGACAGAGAACAAAATGAAATATAAAGCCTAATTTAAATGCTTGTAATGTTTGTTTTTTAATAACTGCATTTTTTTATAAAGTTATCATTCTACAAATTCATCTGAGCAAACTCACTCCCATTGTGAATACTGTAGAGTATCATACAACCGTACTGGATCAAAGGACTACCAGCGAACTAATAAGACAGTATGTCACACAAAGCAAATTAAAACAGTATTTCAGGGAGCGAGAATGCCTCCCGTTCTTTTTCAAAGGGGCAGAATTTACTTAAACTGGCCAGTTTTACAATGTCCCCCCCCTCAAAAAAAAAAAGTAACAAAAATGAACCAAAATTGATCTTTGCACTTAAATCAGTAGTTAGCTTTATGATACGTAGTTAACATACCACTCAGTGCTCCAACTGCTCCAAAATTTAATGATTTTCCATCCATTATACTGGCATCACATTCTATCTCACCCAGAAGGTTTAGGTTAGACCCCAATCCTGCATTTGTAAAAGGAGAATCCTAAAAATAAGAACAAAACACTATGAGGCCACATCTGTAACAGACTAGATCAAAACCTTTGCATAACTGATCTGACAACACCAGTCTCGCTGCAATGCACTTTTTTATTCCAGTAGTCTGATCTTCCGCAACAAAAACAGCAGCAATTTGAACAGGGCATCTCAAATTACATTAATGGATACCTTACACCCTCTATTGGGTGTGATGTATCTCAAGCGTAATAATGCACTAATATGAAAAACAATCACCCAATGATTTAAGATTATTATTCATACACAAGCAAAAGCCTCACAACATGAGTGAAAATCTCTCCCTCCCTCCAAATACACACGTCATTTGGTCCCTAACCCATGAAGTGACATTTAAGTAACACCTAATAATCACTGCACAGACTGCAGTCTGCCTTTGAAACTCCTAAGTACGACGCAGCAGCAAAACACAACTGTACCTTCCCTTAACATTCTAAATCTACGCTCACAGCTCTGCTCACAGAAATAAAGAACCAGCATCAGTAACAATTCACTGTGCAAAATTTCATTAGCATAAGAACAGTCATTACTGTGGTCTGGAAGTTTCTTGAATAAAAACCAAGATGTATTTCATAGAAAGTATGGAACAACATTTAATAAACTCATTAAAAACCTAACTCCTCTTCTATTAGCACCTTCTTTAGCTTTTCACAAACTCAAGGTTTTCAAACAAGAAGTTTTGCATGCTAGAATTAAAAACACCCATTTGTGCCCTCCCATTTCATCAGAGCATCCCCATGACTTTAAAACCAAAAAAAACAATTTGAAGTAGCACAGTTCAGGAGTCTCACTATTAGCTCAATATAATCCCCTCTTTCTAGATGCAAGCACAAAATGAGTACAGGATAGAGAAAGCTAACAGCCCAGAACAGCCAAACAGTAACATTTCGGAGATGCTGCATCCATTCAGAGTTTCACATCTGTTTTTATTACAACAGCATAACAACCTGATGCGACACAGAAAAATGGTTGCCTAGACCACTTGTGAACATGTCAATGACATTAGGTGGTTATACTTTTACAGTACATGTAATAAAAGCTGAATCGGGAAACAAATCCTCTGGAAACAGCTCAAAGTTCTGTCTTAAATGAACTGGTTCTTTCGTACATACTAATTTGTAATGTATACAAGGAAACAAAAGAAAGAAAGAGCATACAGAAATGAAAAATAAATTTGATGTAAGTCAGTTAGCTTTTGTTAACTTTAAAATGAGCAAGTAGTGAGTAAATTCAAAAACTGTTTTGCAAGACGTTGATTTAAAGTGTTCTTAGTGTTTGAGTCACCAAAACGCTATCTTCCTGAAGAATCTTGAATACATAATATGTGATTAACACATAATTATGAAACAGACTGTAATCGCTCTGTGTTCATTTTATACTACTCATCTTTATTTTCTGCTTTTTCCTTCTGCATCCAAGAAATAGCACAAGATTTTATACCATTATCCCATCCTATTTTATCCCACACAGATCTGCAAATTCACTGTGTATATTCACTGTGTTGTTCATTTTGACAGCTATGCCTCACAGCAAATAAGTAAATTTGAAAAGATTTTAGGATAATGAAACATTTGTAGTTTAGTGCACAGGGCATAACTTCCCCTAGAAGCGGGGCAGGGGGGGGAATATCATTAAAGAAAGGCTACCAAGATGATGGCCTTGAAAAGGTGGAAAACTACAGAGCAGCTGCTGGCTTAACCAACATCATTGCTCCCCAGGCTCTACAAGTATGAAGAAAATTAAGTCAGTGAAGTTTAGAACCAAAGGAGCAGAGAAGTGACGGAAGGCATCTGAACACAAATGGGGAAAGGTACTTGGAGGACAAAGTAAAAACAGGAATGCATTGGGATGAACACTGCTTGCTCCTACTGCTGTCCAACTCCCTTGCCTGTGCGTAATCAGAGTGCATAAACCTGCAAGCCTGGAGGAGACAAATTTCTAATGTTCTGTTCCAAAAACATTCATTTAATGCATTACACTCAAAAGCATTAGCAAAGAGGAAGAATATTGTGCTCTACAGATTTGTCACTGCCACAAGGCAAAAACAGTTGTTAGTTTAAGAGCAGATGTCATGGCCAAATAAAAGGAGGAAGAGGGACCCATCAGAGCAGAAGTCTTAGTAACACTGTTCAGAATCCTTCTGCAGTCAAGACACAAAGATCTCTACCATCTGATAAGCATAGTAATCAACAGAGGGTAGGAAAAAAATACAGGACACAGAGTGGCACTAGTTCAATTTATTTCTAAAAATCTAGATGTGCTTGATGCTTTGGCATACCACCGTCACTGGCACAACATCAAGGATGCACCAAGAGACAGCTCATTCAGAGGAACTCAAGACAAAGGGAATGCCACCTGTTTCTCCCTACAGAGTATTTATCAGAATACTAGAGAATATTGGATAAACAAGAACCCTACACCCACAAAATTGTAGATGCCTCTTTGGTGGTATAACCTCATTTTAGGACTCAGAAGGAATCTTACCAGTAAAATCAGTTACAACATGAGTAACTTCTCTGGTAAAAAGAAATAAAGACCAGATTCTCAACACCTGTTCAAAATTTCTGTGTAGCTTTACTTAGCTTTACCATCAGATTGCACTCAATTAATCAGAATTGCCAAGAGGAAGATGGTCTACTCTGACTCCACAGATCCAAAAGGTGATCTGATAACAGCTTCAGACAGTGCAGAAACTGGTTGTGAATGCATGGAATTTTTGATAGCTACCTGAGTGTCTCTGAGATGAAATATAAAGCCTTTGAAATGAGGCAGGAAAAAACCTTTAAAAAAATGGAAACAGAAATTCACGCCTACTCCTATGAATAGGCAAGGACATGAAACACATCTCTTTTTGAAAACATGAATCTCTGACCAAAAGATTTCAAGACTCTGATACACAAATGGAGGAACACAACTTATTAAAATTAAGGTGTATTTTGAAATGAAAATTCAGAACCTACAAGGAATGCAGAAACATTATTAAAACAGAAGAGTGCATGCTTTCAAAGGGGGAAGAAAATAAACTGATCTAAGTGAAGCAGTCTCTTCATACCCTCGGACAGAAAGATGCAGTACTGCCAGAACTGCGTAACTACCATAGGATGGAGAAGAACTCAATCAAAGCATGTATCTAAGAAGAGGGAGGAAGGGAAAGGAAGAAAATATTTATAATACAGAAGGTATCTTTGGGAATATACTTTTATTTAAAATTACACACAGAGATCAGCCTTTAGATTTCCAAGGAGAAAAAAGACAAGAAAGCAAACCAAGCACAAGCTTTGCATGTTAACAGCAAGCCGTACTACCACAGAAAAGTGAAAAAGAAGAGGGAAAGGACAAACAAATGGCTATTTAAAGCATTGTAACAAAACATAAGCTTTCAATTATGTCAAAAATACTAGACTACCTGGCAATTACTCCACTGAAGTATCTCTAACTTGCAACGTAAAACTGTAGCAAAGGAGATAATACAGAGCTTTAAGATGTGAAAAGAGTTTCATTTTCCCAAGTTACCCATCTTGTAAAAACTCTCAAGCTACCGAGGGTATCATATTTATTTTCAGAATCCTTTTTACTTCAAGACGTATTTATGAATGTTCTGGCAGCAAACACAGGCATGCTGAAGTTTCTAGCTGCGGTCAAAGCTGGAATGCTTGAAGACGTTACTCAACGTAATAGTCCTGAATTACATCGAGGCAAATAGTTAAAATGCTCTCTTTTCAACATGCATTAAAGAACTTTCCGTCCATCTTTGATATAGTTTTGGCCATGGTTTATTTGCAACTTTCAAAAGAGATTCAAAGCCTACAGGCATTTCTTTTTACACACTGTAAGTTTAAAATTTATTTTTCGGTGGGAATCTAGTGACAAGAATTAATAGTCTACAAGGATGAGTTGCGTCCCTTTCAATTACACCAGCTACAATGTTTTCAAAGAACACTTTTGTCACAGATTACTGTTAGCCACTCTGCTGCAAAACATCATAGAATTGCTTTTAACTAGAATTAACAACTTCCAGTTCACTACCCATTAAAAGTTCATCTATGGTGACTGCCTTAATACAACAAGGCCACTGGCATCATGCTTTCATCTTTAAAGAGAAGTCCTTGGGACTAAGATTGCATATTCAAAAATCTTAATTACAATAAAATTAATAAATAAACAAAAACAAAGAAAAAACACTTTAACAAGAAACAAGTTCTTTCAGTGCAAAATTTTGCTGACAGTCATGCAAACACACTGCTTGAGTATACCAACAGCTTCAAAATATCCTTTGCATCGGTCCACAACAACAAAAAATGCAAAGTAAACTGAGTAATTTCAGTAGCGAGGAGATCGAAACCCAAAATGTGACATCTGCTTCCCCACCAATCGTTAATTTCCAATTTAAATGATGTTCATACAGAACATTCTACTGAAGTCAGAGTAAAGAAACTAGTGATCTACATACAATATTAATAAACTTAGACTAAACTTTTTCTAAAGTTTGAAATCTTCACCATTTACGTTTTTGTCTCCAGCACCTGAACAGACGGCTTTCTGAAGTGCTCTACAGTCAAAGAAACACTTGAAATTGCAGATTGTTCTCGCAGCCAGCCATAAATGCAATCAGCATGTGGTTTTGTTGAAAACTGCGAGTTTTAAGGGGTGTGTGTGGAGCGGGACCTCCTCACTTCCCCCAAAAAAGCTGCCTGAACCTCTTTGTGTTTCAAGAGAAACTCATACTTCATATGGTGGCTGACAGCAAGAGTGCAAAAAGAAATAGTCCTGCAACAATATCTTTGTAGAAGCATACGGTGTAAACGATGAGTCTTATGAAGCACCTTGTCCAGACCCACTTTATTACCAAAAGCTGAAAGAGGCAACATGTTCATTGTTTCTCTGCAATGACAAACTGCCTTTAATCAACTTATCAAACACAGCCAATGCTTACGAACACCAGCATAGTTATTTTAACAGTATTCTGGGTCAGCTACTCTTGTTACTTTGCAAAAGAAGTCTACCTTTTCTCTAGTTAAGTATTATCTTAATCACAGAACACTATTTCACTTGAGATTCATATATTCCAACAAAGAAAGTCTGTTCCTTCTCCACTTAGAGCCTGCAAAAATAAAACAAAAAAACAGACAGCATACCACAAGCAAACTGTCAGCTTGCTCATAAAAGATCAAGAGCAAGTCTTGTGCCTCAACAAGTCTTTGAAGTGATGCCTCTTGGATTAGCTGAAATTCTGTGTAATAGGAGTTGTGTAATTGAGCGGAACTGAGGAAAACAAAATCATTTTTTGTGACACTTCCACGAAAAGATATTTGTGCCTTGCAAAGACTGCAGATTTTTGGAATACAGCATTAAAAGTCCTAGAGAACTGTAAAAGTGATTAAATATTTCAGATAAATTCATCACAGCAATGTGTTCTACAGCAACCAAAATATCAAGGAGTACAAAACAGTACTCCACAATGGAATTTGTTATCACATGTTGTACAAACTTTGGTTGTTCTGTATCTTAATCAGTATCAGTGACACATGTAAACAAGCAATGCTTTCATACAGATTTTCACTACATATTTGCCAACTCAAAATGCTAAAGTACTTTACCAAAAGTCACTATTTTTTCCTGCAGAAGCAAAAGGGTAGCGATAGCTCATTAGAGAGACAGTCAACATACAAACTTATATTTTTACCCACAAAACTTTGTAATTGGTGAGAAAAAATTCTGTTTGCTTTATTGACTTGCCACTTGCAGCTTCCATTTTCCACAGAGAAAGAGGGAAAACATCAGAATTAAAACAGAAGATGCAGCTCCAGAAATGACAAGAGATGTCTGACAGTGATGTTCAGAATGAGATATGAGTAGATACAAACCTTTCCACATTTTGAAAGCCGACAGTCTAACACTTTGGAATTCCTCATATCAGATCCTCAAAACTGCCACTGTAAACCACACCATATTCTGGTTTGAGTACACCTTTGATTTTTCCTTGACATAACTGCATAGCTACGTACTTTAATTTAAAAGAAGCCCAAATCCCAAACTCAGTATTTTTTATCCCAGTAACACAGAGAACAACCCACAATTAAGAGGTTATATAAATCACTTAATGAATAAATGAAAGCAAATAATTACAATTAATGACAGCAGTACAACCTGAACAAAATAATATTTAATCTTAAAAACAGGGAAAAGGAAAAAAAAGGTTTTGTGCCACACTACACATAAAAATACTCCCTAAGACAACTATAAAACCAGAAACTGGAGTGATGGCAGGCACCACCACAATAGTAGCACGACAGACGAGGAGAAAAGGGTTTCTGATTGGAGTATTTTCATAAAAAGGTTTTAATTTCATCTTAAAGCCGTAACTTCTTACACAGATGTCACTTCAGAGAATTTAAATCTACTAAAGAAAAAGAAGTCTCTTGGGGATAACAAAAACAGATAAAATATTTACCCCAGGCACAGCTGCAAAGAAATACAGAACCGGTAAGTTAAACTTCTTAAAACATGTTTTCTTCTGCATAGCTCAGAAACATGATACAAATCACAAAGTAGGTTTGGGGTTTGGTTTTTCTCCCCACTGAGGAGGGAACTGACACACAAAAAAATTTTGTGGAGTAACAGCAGCCTCAGTAAGTTTATGGAAGTGCATTATAAATAATTCCATTAGAGAGATACCTTTTGTTTTCACGTAGCTGTATTCTAGTACGTAACGTAACACATGAAAGCATATTTGAACAGTTCAGTGGAGACCAAAAGTACTGTTTGAAGCTAAAAAGCTCGCCAAGTTAAGAGCATGACTGAAGTCTTGGCTCCTAGTCAGCATGTCTAACGCATATTAAAGTACGTACTGCCTGCTTTATGCTAACCCTATCAAGTATGTTAATTAACACTTTCCTAAATATGTGTAAGCAAATCCAGGGCTAATCCTGTCAGAATACTACCATAAATTCCAAACCCAGGAAATTATTTTTACAGCACAACACTTACTTTGCCTTCCTTCTTTACCAATAAAGTTAGAGAGGAAGTAGCAATTACTCCTTACAAGAGTGTTTCAAGGGACCTAGGACAATAACCAAACTGCCTCATTTATACCCCAGAAATTCTTTTAGCCTTTACTCTCTACTACATTATTTCGCAGGGCCCCTTCACTGAAGTCAGATGCTGTAAAAATGTCACCACTCCAAAAAGACACTTTTCCAAAAACCTCACAAACAGCTGCTCATCTCTCTATGATTATCAAGACTTTCTATCTTAATTAACCAGTATTATTTTGAAATAAAAGCATTGCTTGTCCTATTCTTCTACGCATATTTTGTCATAAAAATCAGAAAAAGCACTATCTGAACAGCCTGCTTCTTACCCTGTGCCAGAGATCATACAGACACAAAGTAGCTTTCGGGAATTGCACTAATTTAAGTGCATAGCAAAAGTATGTTGCATGACCAATGAGAACTTAAAATTCGTACTTTATTTTCACAGAGTGCTTTAATTGGATGTAGAGACAAGCAGCATTAAGTTTATGCAATCGCTCTTGTAGAATTATTCCGAAGAACTGAAAAAGATATGACTAACACTACCCAAGAAAGCATACTCAGAGACAGCGTTAACAGAACTACTAAAGACCAACTACATCTAAATTCTTTGGATCATCATTTCAAGAAGTGAAACATAACTCAGTGTGAGTTACTAATGCAAACAAAAGGAATAAAGACTTCATCAAGAATTTATCTATGTAAACCGCAGAGCTAGTACAGCCTGCCTGTAGCTCAGTAAACCAGAGATAAAGCTCCCTACAAAGTGTTCAATAAGTCTTTCATGACTGTATTTATTTGTAAATATTAATGACTATCTGATAATGCATTCCTAAGATGACAACCAAATTGCACCAGCTAAACAATTTTTATTCAGTTTGCATTTTTAGAAAGTTTTAAAATAAATTTACTCCAAAATTTAATGGAAAAGCAAAAGACAAAATTAGCATAGCACAAACCCAGAAATCTCAGCAGATTTCCCATTTGAACTAATACCTTCTCACAGGAAAATCTGGCAGTGTACCTGAGAGACACATTTACTACTAGTCAGAAATTCATACCTCTAATTCTATAAGTGCTGCAGTCACTGCATCTGTTGCAAGAGCACCAGCCTGTAGCTTTTCAATTGCCTGAAAAACAGAATTTTTAGTTGATGATTAGGAAAGTCTAATATTCTGTCTTTTCCCAGTCCTGTACAAAACAAAACCTTCATCAATTAGTTTAAAATAAGAGGACATAAAAACAAGTGGCACTGGAAAACTTGAAATAGTATGCACCAAGCAAGGGCAGATCTGAAGGCATGATTTTACTACTTGGACATTGTGACACTGCACTTAGTAGTCAAATTTATGGCAAAATAAATTCTTATACCTGGTGTCCTCAAATTCTTAAGTGTTTCATTCAAGAAGTTTCTAATTTTCCTTCCAAGATTCAACAAAAGTCCCTAGTACCATCTATGGCAATTGTGATGACATGGAACAGAATCTACAAGTAAGCTCATCTAAAAGCCAACACACAAAAGCAGATCAGGTAAGACAAATCTTTATCTCAAAATACATACACACACAAAAATGAACTTCTAGAGCCTAATATTATTTTTTCAATCCATAGTGGACAAGACCTTACAGTCCAGTTCTCCCAGGGAACCCCAGAAAACAACTACGGCTGCATCCTCAGTTGCAAGACAAACCTCTGACTGTTTGCTCTTCACATCAGTTACCTATGTTGGCTGTTTAGCTTAAGGAACCAAATGGAATCTCAAAACAGACCTAAATTCAACAGCAAACAACCTTTTTTCACACATAATTAGCTGGAAAATTCATATCATCAGGGCTAATGCACAACTTTAATGAAGTTAGTGTTAAGTCTGGCTGATTTTTGAGGCTTCTCATTACAAAATTACACAGGTATTAGGATTGAGCAACAGAATTGGAAGATGAAGTGATAATTATCAGAGGCCAACTCTGAGACTCTTCTAAAAAGCCTGCCAAGCTCCCCAGCTCCTTCTTCCTGGAGAAAGCAAAAGGCATGAGAAATTTTGGAGACAGGTCTTCCAGCTTCTCATTCAACACTTAGTAGGCAGGACTTGCCTGCTCCGAAGCTAAGTTATTGGAGAAGATAACAAAAAAATTACCTTCAATGGAAATGAAAGTCTTGCCATGTCTCCCCAGCTTTGGGAAGAGGGTTTTGATTTTCCTGTTTCTACCTCCTCTCCTATTAAGAAGAGCTATCAAGAAGAAAAGAATTCTAGAAATCCCTGCATTCATCGAGCAATTTGGATGCTAGAGTTTAAATAAATTCCAAAAAGAGTAGACATTGATAAAAGACACCATATTTAGCTCCAGAAATCCCAGAGCCTTGGGAACAGTGCAGGAAGCTGCAGGAATACTCCTTGTATGGTCCCACCGTGACCTTCTCCTGTTCCTGCCCCCCCTTCCTTTGGTGCGTGCTATTTGCCACCACTGATGAGAGAACATTGCTGCACCTCATGGCCGTGCACTCTATTGATTCCGCATCACGTTAACTGTTGCTGCTCCATTTTTCCTCTACAAATGCATTCAGCCTGGGTAGCTAAACCCAGATATGCTCGTTCATACTGAAGGGATAGTGCTACCAAATATATTCCTTGTATACTGACTACGAGACTGCGGAGCTGCTAAGACATACCTTCTGACAGGCTCTTTTGCACACATGCTTGTATTCTTTAGCTTTGGATTCGGAGTGATAACCTGCACCTACAATCAAGGTAAAAAGAAAAAAGATTATACTACCTGTCAAACTACAGCCTATAGTTCGCATGAAGAATTAAGCTACAGACAGACACAGCCTTCGTTATTCTGGATTACACTGGCATTCCCTTTTTTCTATCAATGATTGACAACCTCACGCATTCTAACACTAATTTGAATACACTCAGTAAAATACAGGATACAGAGCAAATATGCAGAAGCACACAGGTATAAATCTCAGCATCGCACAATCTGTTCCTATAAACATTCTCCAAGAGATAGCAGTTTTGCCCATTCTTGGAGGACTTCCAGCATAGTTTTTTTTATTTATTGTCCATCATTGGGAAAAAACCTTGGTTTTAAGATGTACTCAAATTTTCCCTTTCTGCAGATCTGCAAGTTTGCAATCACCATTCTTCTGTTCATCTTCTCATGCTTACACTACATATTTAGAGCTCATTACTGCTGCTTTAGAACCAGGAGAGTTCCTGAAAATAAAGATCATACAATTTTTTTCACCTTTTTCTCATTTTCAGTCTTCATGGCTATCCTTTTGCATATAACCATTTTGCCCTGTTTTGTAACCACTACTCGCTACTTCCACACCTGAAAAATTTATCAGTGCCCAGTATTCAACTAAAAACAGCATCAGAAAAATAACAGACAAGACTAGCACGCTGATATTTAAATCCTTCTGTTTTTCTTGGGTTTTGAACTTGAAAAATACTGTTGTATTTATCTCAACTTCCCTTTCCTTACCTTTAGAAAGGTTAGCTTTGAGAAACTCTAATAAAAAAAAGTTTTAACTCTAGCAGTGAAAGAAAAAGAATTTTAAACAAAGTAATCCAGCAATGGAAAACATATTGAGCAATTCTATTTGCTCTTAAAATAGAATAACGGGGGTGTCAAATATCAACCCAGAACAAGTTCTTTGAGGGTTTTTTTGAGGTTTGGGGGGGATGTTGGGTTTTTTTTACTGTAAGGATATTATAAACGAAGTAGCATGTTGGTTTTTCAAATATTTTAGGTGTCATCAGGCTACTCTGCTCAATTTTACCTCATCATCACACATATGCCAAAAACAAATACACAGCCAGATATAAGCATCCCTAATATTTTCAAGTTTTAACAGTATTTAAGAAAGAACCTATTAGAAAAGAATTTATGAACAAGACAGATATAACACGTCATTTTTGTATCACATCTGAGTAGATGACTTCTTCACTACATGTGGAAAAAAACAAATAGTAATTCACTTAAATATGAAAGATTCAAAAAAAAATATAGACTTGGAGGAAAACTTTCAAAAGGGTGAAAATAATGAAGTTCTGCCACAAATGGCCTAAACAGGTTTCAAAAAGTCTTAATTAGACTGTCCTTACGGACAAGCTAGACAAGCAACTGTCAGTAATGAAAGAGCTATGTTTGATCTTTCTGGAGGGTAAGGAAATATACGGAAAAATGTCTCACATTTCATAGATTTCCCAAGCTTAGCAGATAACTGCAGAATTTGATATTTTATAACTATTTAATTTAGGGATTTTGTTTGGGGTTTTCTTTGTCAAGGAGGAAAACAAAACAAAACAAACCCAAAAAACCCATTCAGAACATTATTAACAATTTGCAAGATCCGCCAGCCAATGCAACTTCTAATCAAACCCTCCACTCCCAGATCCACACCCAAAGCTAATGTCACTTCATTAACATGGTAGTGGTCCAAAGCCAACACAAAATCTTAGCTGAGATTTAATCTGCATACACACTATTTCCATTCCAGCTTCTGCATCTTACCTGCATGGACAAGCACAAATCCCACTCGTTTCCCTCTTTGGGTTTGCTTTGTTTCGGGCTCTTTGACCACCACTTTTACAGCTGTAACCTGAGATGATTTGGAAGGTAACACTTCTACTGAACTTATCCCCTTCTCCATGATCATACATTAGGATCACCATCTTCTACTGGAAAAGGGCATGCTTCCATTCAAAAATAAACTCTGGAGAGGAATCATCCTAAAACCAAAACACATGCATAAGTTAGATACTGATTTTGAGAGGTGAATTTCACAGAAATAACTTCAGAAAGAACTTTCAGAAAAGAGGTTTGAAAAAAGGAGAGTATGCCTCTTGAAAGAAGGGCTTCCCTAGCTAACACTATTAATGAGACTTAAAATAATCAAAGTCCACACCACAAGTTGAAAGCAGCCTTTTCGTTACAACTTAACTTGAACCTAATTATCTTGCCATACATTGTAGGGAATTGCTGATATAAAGCTTGCCCATGACTGAGAGAAAGCTGCTTTCTGTAGTCATCTTTCACTCAACAGCATAACTTACTTCTCCACCCATCACGCCTGACTAGTTTTTAATATGATGATGCCCCATAGTCACAATCTTCACTTTTGAAAAGCACCATTCCCTGCTTGTGTGGAAAGTCCTAGGCAGCACTGTAGCAATGCTGACAAGAGCTGAAAGATAGTATATATGGTTGCACGGCAGAATCTCCTGTCCTCAAATCACACACTGGCATCTGCCTGCCTGATTTTGTGTCTACATTTTACATTGGAGATGTAGAATCTGTGTATTAACACAAATTCAACAGTCATATAAGAACTGCAGCAAGCAAGTAACACTTAAAAACGCTATACCTCTTCCTTTCTTTTGCAGGAAACAGCTGTTTAAGATCCTACAACAAACTCCTACTCTTCCATACTTTTTCATCCCTTACCCTTATTATTCTCCAGTAATTTGCAGGGGGCAAAGAAGAAAACAATTAACTTTTTTTTTTAATAGCAAAGTATTTCTAAAAAAAAAAAAATGCACCAAATAAGCCTAACGCAGTGAAACGAAGTTTACCTACTGTAAGGCTAGCTACCATGATTATCAGGGAACCACACATGCTTAAGTCAATCTCAAATAATTTAGTGACCCTATCTGGTTTTGAACGTAACCCTTAAGTTGTTTATAGAATTTAATATTTATAATGGAAAAACTGTCAGTATTTTCTAATATACAAAACAAAAAAGCTCCCAAGCTAAAGTACAGAACTCTGTATCTTTTCAAGAGTCAGAAAAAAATTCACTGTATTTATTGCTCCTCTTATCCACGGCCTAATACATGTTAATCCTAACACAATATTGTTTCTTTTTTAAAATTAAAACCAGAGACATTCACGTTGAATTAATTCAGGAACTGAAAAAAGCATATAGCGTTAATGCACGAATGGAGAAAACCTCTACAACATATCAAGATATTCCAGTACGATGTCTATCACTCCTGCCACCTTGAAAGGGTCTGCTAGTACCCTAAGAATACTAGAAGGTGAATAGAAGTGAAAAGAACGAGATGTTTAATACATAGGACTTAAACTCCAGATTTTGCAAAGGCTGTATGGCTCACTCCAGTAATTAAACACCACTCCCTTGAAACAAACAAAACAATACAAACTATGCTTAGCAAGATTCAGCACTGGCACAGAGCAGACAAACTTGCTGGTTTACCACAACCATCCTTTCAATAATGAAAATTAGCCCAGCTTTCTAAGAGTTATTTATTTCTGCTTGTTTTTTCTTACATGCTAAATGTATATAGGTATCTTCATATATCCAAAAATTCAGACTTCAAAATTTAATATGAACTTACTTTTATATATATTTATATAAAATGAAAGACCACTACATTACATGGACTCTACAGAGAAAAAAGCATTTATGGACTACATCCATTTGTAATGGTCTCCTGTATAAACTTCAGAGCTACAATTAAAGTCCTAATCACTGCATTTACTTCCTTTTTTGCTAATAATGATGAAGAAAGCTCCAGCAGCCATTGGTACAGGCAGTAAGCTGAAACACAGCCTGTTTCTTACAAACTACTTTGCTGCATCTTACCACGCCTCAAAGAACATCCTCACAGCAACAGGGGCATGACAAAGACTTCAGTAAAGTGGCAGAGAAGCGAGTAAGGAACCTACATCCTTGAAGAAATGGATGAAATAGTGTGGTGTTAGGGAAAGTAATAATGATGGTAGTTAAACCAGTTTTGAAAATGAAGATACAGGCAACACTTAAAGACTAAGTCCAGGCTGAAAACCCTTACTAGGCCTTTACATACACCTGGGTCCGAGGCTGCGTTTATTTTTACCAGAAACTGTGCGGTGAACCTATCTCAGTAATTTCCTTCAGTTTGTAACACTTCCTCCATATGAACTGGATTTTGTCAAACCCCTTCCATCTCAAACCGTTCTTCAAGTCCTTTCAGATTTCCTTCACAAACCCGCTGCTTTCACTTGGAAAGCTCCGGGTGCACCCAACCCTCCCCTTTCTTCTATGATTTATCTGTTCTCCTTCCTGGCTGTCAGACATCCATCACCTCTGATCTCAGCCCTCCTCGCCACACAGTTCACACTTCTACATCTGGAGAAGTGGTGGAGAAAGGTAGTTTGATTCCTGAAGAACACGAACCATACCGATTTTAACAAAGTAGCCCAAAGCACTTACTGCGCTGAAAAAGTAACACTGAATCCTACACAGGCACTCAGATAAACGTGAGTAACTCGAGCATCACACCCAAGGCAGGAGTCGCCGAGTCTTGCAGCGCACCACCACA